GCATCCCTCCTGCCTCTTAGCATCCCTCCTCCCTCCTAGCATCCCTCCTGCCTCCTAGCATCCCTCCTGCCTCTTCCTCTTATCCTCCCTCCTAACCTTCCCCCTGCTTCCTAGCATCACTACCATAGTGTCTCCTGAGTCTGGAATCTTTGGTTCACCTTTTTTGCCTATCTTCATCCTTTATCTCCCCCTACATGGACCGAAATGTCATTTTAAAATAAAGAAAAACATGACTTCAGCACTCTGGATCTAAGAGTCCTCTTTGCAATCTTTTGCAATCTGTCTTTGCTTTTACAAATGAATCCAATATAAAAGTGTGTGCTTGTGTGTGTGTGTGTGTGTGTGTGTGTGTGTGTGTGTGTGTGTGTGTGTGTGGTGTTTCAGGGGGAGGAGATTGTTACCTTTATTGTGTTTTTCTGTTTCTAAATCCTTTATAGGCCACAAGCAAGGCTGAGTCACAACCATATTAGGAAACAAACAAACAAACAAGAAAAAAAAACTCTTTTTAGAAACTTCAAAAGGATTTTGTTCCATTGTCTGGACACCCATCTGGAGGGTGAAACACCTTAGTCCTCACTCAGTTCCTCGACCTTCTCGTCGTCACTGACCTCTGCACTTCTCAGCTCCCTGATCCTGCAGTTGCTCTGCTCTGGAGTGGGCGAGTCCGGGCCTTGCACACCATCTACCACCCTCCTGGGCACATTGCTCGGCCTTGAAGATTACTCAAACTTGTTCTTCCCGAGAACCACCCTTCTTCCAGCCAGCTTGGACCGTCAGTCTCTGACCTCACCAGGACTTCCACCCCAAGGACTCCCTTCTCAGTTCCTTTATCCATTTATCTCTTTATATCCCTTTGACTCCGTGGGTCATCACTTGAGCGCCCTTTTGTAAGTATACTTAACTCCTTGGCTCTTTTGTTCTTTTGTGGCATCTCCCTAGCAAATGCTAGCCCAGAATGGAGGCACCCGCCCCCATGAATTTCCCATATCTGCTCTGGAACACATCAGACAGATCTAAACCTTACCACTTACCGTTGTGAACCTCTATGTACCTACAATGCTTCTTGCCTTGGGAGAGGCAGAGGAAGGACATCTCTGAAGGACCTCTGAGGGTTCTGAAATATGAGGATTTCACATGGATAGAGAAGAAAATGAACGAAACCAGGAAAACCGACCAGTGTGGATTAGAACCAGATGAGAGCAACCTAGCAACAAAGTGAAGAGGACTTCAACAAGGATGGTCAACTGCCATTTCCTTTTTGAGCAAAATCCTTCATCCAGGCTCTCTATATGTCACCAACCAGGGGAAGGACAGTGCCAGGGTCTGCTGCATGCTCACCCCACCCCTTCAGTGGTCTTCTTGTGCAAAGCCCAGCCTAGCTCATCAACTTTTGCAGGAGGTGAGGAAATGCCAGCTTCAGCTATAAAAGGTCAGTCAGCATAGCTGATATGCCGAAGGAATGAGGAAGGTGGAGAATCCTGAGGCCTCAGAGACGATAAAGAGACGATTGGTTTGACATGAGCTAATGAGAAGAGCAGCAAAGCTAGGCAGGTGCAGTTGAGAAACAGAGGGTCACACAGGAGTAGGTCATTTCAAGGTGGCCATCGGGGGAGGGAGGAAAGGAGATATGGATGCTGTCACTGTGATATTAGTTTCCTGGCCCGATGATGACTTCTCCAAAGATGCTCATCTTTTCAGTATCTGTATATCCATAATTCAGTAACTGGCATACAGCAGGCACACCGTCATGAGTGGAGTGTGGTAGACACTACAGCTAGCTATGGGAAGACTGGTCAGCAGAAACACACAGTGTTCGTCTCAGTGGATTGTACAATCCGGTGGAGGATGAGCCGGTCATTGATTACATGATCAGACAAATGAATACAAAATGATGAGTAGTGAAATGTGCTTCCAAGTTTGCACCGGACCAGATGGTGTCCTTTGATCCTGGCCTTGCCTGAGAGAGAGAAAAGGTCTCTGAGAAGGGAGGCATGAGCAAGATCTGGAAGATGAGCAGGAGTTAGTAGAGGAGGAATTTAGGGAAGAGTAAGCTACAGAGTGGAAACAGAGTGGAGGAAGACCACCATAGCCAGAGCATGGAGCTCAGGGGAAAGGCTTTGCTTCGGCTTCCCAGAGAGGAGGCTAGGCCTGTGCCTGTTGCACAACTGCCATCCCTGCCTTCCTGGAGTGGAAAGAACCGTGATCGGCCCAAGCCAAGAAGACTCCATTTCCTCTTGGTTCTGAGACTGGCCTTGAGGTGACATGACCAGTCCAATAAAATGTAACGAGAAATCCTCCTCCGCTCCTCCCTGATGTAAAAAGCACTTAACAGGGATTCTCATTTCCCCCATCCCTTCCCTGGGGCTTGGCTGCTTTCTTGTGAAAACATGATAAATATGGCAGACAACCATAACCAAAACAATCAGAACCACAAAACAAGTGTCAGAATATCACCAACTCATCAGACTGACTCTGGACCACTTCATCCAGACATCCTGCATGATGTCTGACAAATAAGTTATAGGCCATTGTGATTTTTTAAAATGTGCAATTAGAAACAGTCCTACCCACAATGCCCATCAGTCCAGTCATGGGACTCATAAAATCATGAAAATGCTTCATATCACCAATTTCTTTGTCTTCACAAAGATGGTGATGTGGACATCAAATGGGAGAGGAAATGGATTTTTTCACTGGAGTCATTTTTACACTGTCTCTAGGACACCCTCATTATTATTGTTTTGTGTGTAGAGCCTTTTCTTTGCCTTGCTTCTTTTAATTATTTGTCCAAGAAAAGAGATACAGTAAAGATTGCCTGCAGTGTGATTGATGTCACCACTTCCTGGTGACATCAACATGGATGTCCTATCCACACAGACAATGAGCATACAACATGTGGCTGGTCCGCCTGTACACTGATGAGCCCTTGGCTTTGAACCAAGGACAAAATCATGCTGTGGCCTGAATGGGTACATGGAGTGCTTTGAACAAGGACAGAAATGAAATCCTGAGGATCAGAGAGATGGCAACCTATGTGGTTACCCTGGCCAGTCGGTATCAGAGCAAGATGAGAGCCCAGAATAACTGGTCCCAACTTAGGTCTCATAGATTACAAGGGAGGACATGCGAGCCACAGGGTCCGCAGAGACTGGAGTTTAATTTCTGTCCCTGGCTGTATGGCCTTCAGCAAGCTATTTCATCTCTAAATTATAGTTCCCTCTTTTTTAAATTAACAGGTCATCATTCCTACCCTACAAAATTGTTGAGATTAAATGATATGCTAAGTGAATTAAAAATCCCCAATAAACACTAGGTATTGTCATGTAGCACACACTATTCAGCTCTGATTTGGTGAGGGAGGAACAGGAAGTTAAAGAGCGGTCTCATGACAGAGTCCCATCATGAAATTAGCAAATTGATTGTCTGAAATTTTAAAGAAATTGCTTACTTGCAAAGATATTTGGTTGACAGTCTCGCCCACATTGTTGGCGATGATTAATGAGGAAAACCACGCTTCTGTCTCGTGGCATGTGTACGGATTTCTCACAGGGTTGTTATTGGATGTCAGCAGCAGACATCATTTTCAGTTTTACAGGTTGCATCTACAGTATAAGTGGCTTTCTTAGGCACCTGTGGGATATACTAAGCATCTTCCCTGAAAAGTTGTGTACGATTATTGGGAAATAAGAACAAAGACTGGAACGCAGTGGGATGGGTGGGTGAACGAGCAGACAGACAGGAGATGGAAAGTTCACGAGTCTGCCATCTGTTTGATTGTCATAAAGGAATTACAGATTGTAAAGTAATTCCCCTTTCCCTCAGTTAGGTCTTGCTATCAGCGACAGGCGGTCAGTAGCTCTGTGGTTGCTAGGGGAGACCAGCACAGTTTTTGAGGAACTGCTTAAGGCGCTAGGAACTAGTAAGATCTGGACAAAGATCCACCGTGGAGCTACAGAGTGCATCCAGGTCCAAGGCTGATTTTATCTCAGGAAATACATTTCAAGAAATGGTTTCTCCTAAAACAAGCAAAGCAAGTTCTGTGCAGCAGGTGAACAAATCAATCGCTTCTGCATGCCTGGAGCCCAAGAGTGGCCAAATAAGGAACCAACAAGACCCACACCCTCTATAGGTGTAAAAGTTAAACAACAGAGAAAGAACTTTGGCTGAAGGCTACCCAGCACTGTGCTGGCTGCTTTTTTGTATCTGAAGTCTTATTTTCTTGGGAAAGATTCTATGAAGTCAGAATTATCTATCCCAAAGCTGGGCATGGTTACACCTTCCTATAATCTCAGACTCAGTTCAAAACCAGCCTTGACTACCTAGTGAGTTCCAGGCTGGCCTCAGAAACAACGAGACCTTGGCTCAAAGGAAAAATGAAAGAATTAGCCATCCTATTTTTGCCAATGAAGAACAAAATTTGAAGTCTGAAAGGCTACAGCGTGAATATATCAAAGCTGATGGTAGCTGAGCCACGTCTGTGAGGGTGCCAAAGACACCGAACTTTCATTTCTAAAGGTGATGTAACACGCTAACTCATTAGCACTCTGCCATCTCCTCTAACTTTCTGAAGTATGAATTAAAATACAGGCAAGCCCCTCAGCTGGCCAATACCACTGCGCTTGTCAAATGGCCACTGTTTATGTAAGCTTCCTGCTTTGAAGAGGCCATGTGCTGGACATCATGCCTAGCCCCTCACCACACCGACAGAACTGCTCCAGCATGCATGAATGAGCCAATCTTCCTGGAAACACTTGAAGGAACGACTGTGTTAGAGAAGCCAGGCTTTTGTTTCCTCACCGGGTACAAAGCAATCCTGCCTCAGGAAGATGTGTTGCTAAGATACGGCTGGGTGGGAAGCAGAGGGTTGTTTCAGTGGTAGTCACTGCAGAAGGTCAAGGCTAGGTTGGCATTGTCCTCAATAAGAGTCATTGTTACTACGGTCCAAAGTCTTACAGGAATTTTTAAAATTTGTTTGCTTTTTTTCCCCTAGATACCTGTACCTTCAGGTGCAGTTCCATGCCAAACCACAAGAAGAATGAAAGCCCAGGACTTCCCCTGAGCACCGACTTCCATTGGCGTTTGGTACAAAAGTAAAATCTTCCCAAGGCCTGTGGAGAACTTCCTGCTGATTCACATTTCACACAGAGCCTGTACTTAACCCTCACCCTCACTCCAGCGCTCAGAGTAAACGTCAGGAGTGCCGGAGCCGTGAGGCCAGCACGTACAGAGAACAGCCCAGTGACCTGGTAAGTACTGCTGCTCTGTGACGGGTTTGGACTCTCAAGGTTATGGTGATCTGGGAGTTTTTTCACAATTGAGCAATTGCAAATTGGAATTATCCAATTTGAGAAGTCTTGATATTTTAGGCTTTTTCTTTATAATTTTCTTAGGCTATAGGACCAGAGGGAAAGAGGACCTCTTGGCATCATGCTTATCAAATGCCAACTTCCATGACAATAAGTAGGTCACGGAACAAATGAGAGAGCTTTCTGAATGAGATCAAAGAGCTAAATTGAAAAGGTATGCATAGGTATGGGGCTTGTCTGTTTATTTGGGGCCAGTGACAAGGAGTATAAGAAAAACTATAAAAAGATTACATTCTCCATTCTTTATTATTTTTTAGATAGGGTCTCACTATGTAGCCCTGGCTGCCCTAGAACTCATAGAGATCTCCCTGCCTCCACCTACCAAGTGCTGGGGTTAAAGCCATATGCCACCATACCCCTCACATTCTCCTTTCTTGAATAGCCAGAAGTACACAATCCTGAAGGTCAATTTTCAAGTTAGAATTTTGGCTCCTTTTCTGAATTCTTAATTCTGCAAAGACAAGTTGCTTAGTCTTTCTAATAAGTGTTACCTTGTTTGTGGCTGGATGTTACAGCATCATAAAAATAATTTAAGCTTTAGTGTTGTGATGAGGATCTGAGTGCACACTGTTTATAAGTATCTGGAATGTACTATGTTTCCCATAAATGCTAGCAATTATTAACAAGCATACAACCATAGACTATTCGAGACAGACGGGATTAGGTAGCTAGTGTTCCTGGTAACTGAACACCTATGATATGCTCTTAATAAGATTGGTTCCACGGAAGCTCACAGCAATTCTGGGAGTGGAGGCTTGGAAAGGTACTGTACTACTGTACTGGATTGAAAATCCCATCTTTCCTTATTGATGGGGAAGATATTTAAACCCAGACTCCACAGCTAGCATACCAAGCCATCACACCCTACAGCTTTATCTGTTGTGTCCTCTTGTGGTGGGTGGGGAGAAGACAGAAGAGCAGTCCCCATCAGCAGCATCAGAGCCCTTCATGGGTATCATAGGGCTAGATGAGTATCATTGGACTTCGCCATGCACAGTGCACAAGGAAAGTGGATGTCATTGGAAATATCCATGAGCATCCATGTGAGTTCTACCCAGGGGAACGTTTTGGAGGTTTCCATTTGTGAAATAAGCCCCCTCAGAACAAGGTAGTTCTGAGACCCCAAGTCACAAAGTATGCAAATGTATAAGTACCTTCAGGTCTCAGTGCCTGGGGTAAGTGCCTTCAGTACTCAGTGCCTGGAGTAAGTACCTTCAGGGCTCAGTGCCTGGGGTGCTTGCACGCTCCCTGGCTTTACTCAGAGCTCTGGTGCTGGGGAAGGATTAAACATGGATTCTGTACAAACTGTGAAGCATCAGGATGTTCTCAGACTAGTGTTATTGGGAAGATTTTATCCCTCCCCTTTACAGACAACAGGGGCTTTAAAAACAATTGCGTATTTTTATCAGGAAAAACAAAAAAATTTTTTTTCAAAGAACAGCCTCCAAACATTTTTCAGTAAACACATTGCTTTAAAATGTGTTGCTCACAACCGGTCTCCCTTGAAGAGCTGCAGGATCCACGTTCCATGCACCGTCACTCGCCAGGCTAACCACTGCATGCATGGACGGCTAAGTCTCTCGTGCGGAGGCCAGAGGAAAGGAAGGGTGTGTTGAAAAGCACTTCTTCTTAATGACTTCTCTAGGCAGTGACATTCTCACAATGAAAAGAAGCCCAGGGTATTTATTAAAAAATAGAATTTCAAATTAGTCTTGGCTAGCCTCAAACTCACAATGTAACTGAGGCTATCCTTGGAATGTGATCTTCCTGCCTCTACTTCTCGAGTGTTGGAATTACAGATGTGGCCAGAAAGTCATGCTTTTGACACAAAATTCTCAAGGGTAATTTGAAAATGCTCATTATAATTTCTAATTATTTGTGCCTTTGGAATGGAGGGTAAAGTATTAAGCAGGGTATCTTGTGAGTTCTTGTACAAAGCTGTTCTTCAAAGGAGCAAAGGCCTTTGGGCTCTCTAGCTCGGCATTCCATCCAAAGAAATGTGCCCATCACACCAGGTGAGGGCCAAGGGTGCCAGTTCTTCAACTATGCCCTAAGATGGCCCAGAAAGGTTGTGATTCGCTGAGATGATCACCTATGCTCCTACTCAGGACACCTCAAGAGGGGAAAAGCTCCTCCTGCCCGGGGGGTGGGGGGTTGGGGAGAGTGGGGGGTGGGGAGAGGGGTGTGTGTGTGTGTGTGTGTGTGTGTGTGTGTGTGAGAGAGAGAGAGAGAGAGAGAGAGAGAGAGAGAGAGAGAGAGAGAGAGAGAGAGAGAGAGAGAGAGGGAGAGGGAGAGGGAGAGGGAGAGGGAGAGGGAGAGAGGGAGAGGGAGAGGGAGAGGGAGAGGGGAGAGGGAGAGGGAGAGGGAGAGGGAGAGGGAGAGGGAGAGGGAGAGAGAGAGAGAGAGAGAGAGAGAGAGAGAGAGAGGGAGAGGGAGAGAGAGAGAGAGATTGAATAGCCAGGGAAACTCTCACACCAGCAAAGGCAAGGATTGAATGGGCTGATGGTAATTAAGGACAAAGGTCAGGAAAGGAGCAGTAACACCAGGACAGAGGGATGGAAACGGCCCTCTACCTTCTTCCCTGATTGCCCCAGACTCCCTGGTGCCTCCTTTTTCAGGGCCTTCCATTTTGAGGTGTTACTAATTCAAGGTAGAGGTTGGCCATAGACACAGTCCTAGTTCTCAAGCCCCCATCAGGCCTGCAGCCCTCACCCTGTGGAAATCCCTTCCACCTCTCAGTCCCCTAATCAGTGGTTCTCAGCCACTCAGATCTAGAGTTGAGAGACTGGCTCAGTCAGTAAAGGGTTTGCAGCTCAACCATGAGGATCTGACTTCTCTCCACAGAATCCACACTGAAAGGTGGGATGTGGTGGCACGTGCTTGTAATAGCAGTAGGGGAGGCAGAAATAGGCAGACTCCTGGAGCCTGCTGGCCAGTCAGGTGAGCTCCAGGCCAATGAGAGACCCTGTCTCAAAAACAAGTTGGATATCACCTGAGGACTCCATATACATAATACAGACAGAAAAGGCAAGAACCAGAATTGGTGAGGCCTGTCATGACTTCTGATGGCGCCATAGTTAGTCACTGTGGCCACTGACAAGAGCTGGAGGCTAACTTCTGTTTAACCCTCTTATGACAGGTAAGAAGAGCCATCCAGATGGAAGCCAGACCTCCAAAGAGTCCAGGTACCTAAGGGGTGCAATGTCAGAAGGAAACATCTTTCCACCAAAAATGATGAACAAGGTCCATCTGGTCACCCAGGACACAGACATCAGTGTCTGTTTTGTAGGGATGACAGATATGATTCTGGGACAGTGACTCTCGGGCTAGAGAAAGTAGAGGTTGTTGGATTCACTTACTATTTGTAAAAGTTGAATTATCTAGAAATTTAGCATTTTCTGATTTTCATTGGCTCAGTGTTCCACTTGTATCTTGGAGACAGTGCCTTTAATAAATTACAACCCAGTTAAGACTAGGATATATTCCCTTAATTTTGCATAAAATTCTCACTTAAGCTGCCTAAGTCGCCTGTTAGGGCTTATTAGGAGGGACAGTTCAGTACACATTGTGCAAACACTCAGTACACATTGCTTATACACTCGCATAATTCACTCCAGGAAAGTGGCTAAAACAGCCAAATTTAGGATGTAGCCACTTGAAAACAAATCATCCCATTCAACTCTAAAATGTTTACAAAGCCATTGCCCCTAACTGTGTGCTTCAGGTTGTGGGGATCTGTTGAGATGAGTCATTGTGCTCGAGGAACTTATAATCTACTGAGAAATTGGAAGAAACATGGGCGAGTAGCTGTATGGAGAACTTTAGCTCGGCACATATAATCGGGCCACAGTGTAACCATGGAATATGAACAAAGCGCTGTGGAAACTGGAGGGAAGGCTGAGGGAATGGGAATCCAGAGAAGTCTTATGAAGAAGTTGTTTGAGCTGCATCTTATCATGTGTGCTTACTTTTTAAAATTTTATTTGTATATATATATATGTGTATATATATATGTCTGGTGTATATATGTGTTCAGGTGGATGTGTGTATATGTGGAATGTTGAGTGTCTTCCTTATCATTCTCCACCTTATTGCTTAAGTCAGGGTCTTTTACTCAACCTGAAGCCCAGTGATTCAGCTCAGCTAACCAGCCAATGAGCTCCAGAGATCTGCTCTTCTCTGCCTCTCCACCCCCAGTGCTGAGGTTAAAATGCATGGCACCACACCTGCCTTGCATGGGTCCTGGGGATCCACGCTTGGGTCCTCGTACTTAGGTAGTAGACACTGAACTGTCTTCCCAGTCCTCTGTGGAAAGGGCTTTGGGGAGCTGAGATATAAAATTTTTTTACATATTTTTAATTAAAATGTAATCATATCACTTCCCCCACTTCCCTTTGTTCCCTCTTAGGCTCTCCCTCACCCCTTCTCTAACTGACGGCCGCTTTTTTTTTGATTTATTAGTGTTATAAAACATGCATGCACACACACATACATATGACATGCACACATACATACACACACATACATATGACATGCACACACACAGATGCACAAACATATAAATACATACAACTGCTGAGTCTATGTTTGTTGTTTATGTGTATATACTTTCAGGGCTGATCCCTTTTTGGTGGGTAGCCAGTTAAGGGGCTCATCCCTGTGAGATGCTAATTCTCCTTCTCTCAGCAATCATTAGTTACTTGTGGTTCTTTGTATTGGGGTGATACTCCATGAGATGTCCCCCTTCAGGATTAGCAAGTCTTTTGATACTGCCATTGTTTGGGTCTTACTTAAGCTGCCATTTCTAGGAGACAGTTTCACAGTAGACCTCCTGGTCCTCTGGCTCTTACCATCTTTCTGCCCCTTCTCCCTGTATGTTTCCTGAGCCTTAGGTGTAGGAGTTATGTTATAGATGTACCTACTGGGGCTGAGGTTGCCACAGCCCATTGATCTCTCATTGGATCCAGGTGTGGCTTTCTGTAATGCTCTCCATTTGCTGTAAAGGAAGGCTTCCTCAGTGAAAGGTTCTACTTGTCTGTGGGAACAAGGGTATGTTTTAGCATGTAGTTAGGAATTACGGTGGAGGTTCCCTTCTAAGATGCATGGCCTCGCTAGCCCCAGGTGGTTGGCTAGAGTTCTAGTACCAGGCATGAGTTCCCTCCAAGAAAAGGAAACACATCTCATCAGAAGAGATGGTGAGACCCAAAGCATGGGAGTGGTACAGAGGCAGGATGTGTCGGAGCAGAATGGTGCCATATGGTAGGATGGGGGACAAGGGAGGTTGAGGATGCCAGACCTTGGCCTCCTCTTGTAGATGTAACCAATTGTCTTATTAAATAAGAAACACAGAACCAATGCAAAGAAGAAAGCCAAGAGATCAGAGCTAAGAGCCTTACCCGCCTGCTGCAGTTAGCCTCTTCAGCCAAGAGACCTCTCCGAAAGAGACCTACTTCTTGTCTGTTTGTCTTTATATAGACTTTCTGTTCTGCCTTCTCATTGGTTGTAAAACCAACCACATGACTGCCTCGTCACTGCCTGTCTGTATAGACCTCCAGGTCTTCTATGGTTGGTATTGAGATTAAAGGCATGTGTCTCCAGTGCTGGCTGTATCCTTGAACACACAGAGATCTACCTAGCTCTGCCTACCAAGTGCTGGGATTAAAGGCGTGCACCACCAATGCCCAGCTTTTGCTATGGCTCTAATAGCTCTGACCCCCAGGCAACTTTATTTATTAACATACAATTAAAATCACATTTCAGTACAAATAAAATACCACCATATCCTCTGACTAGAGTATTTTGAGCACAGACTTGGCATGATTGTGCATTTTAGGCTGGCTTACCATTACCAGCTTTGCTGTGGTTTATTCATGCATCTATTTGAGGTGAATAGTCTGGTAAGTTTCAGTAGACCTACTCACCTGGGCAAGCTTTACCACAGTCAAGACAGTGAATGTCTCCCTCATGCTCAACTTTTCCTATGCCTTGTTGTAATCCTTCTCTTCAGCACCCAGTCCTTTGTCCCATGGCCTGGCTCTCGGTCACTCTGTTTGCTAGAGTTTTGCAAAAATGTGGACACACAGTAGACACTGTCATCTGGTTTCTTCTATGCAGCATAATTCTCTAATTCATAATTGATATTCAGCCATGGCATTGTCTTGGTCCCTTTCCCCTTTTCCATTGTATGGGTGTGTCATAACTGGGTGGTTCACTCACCATCTGGAAACATTAGGGTGTTTTCCGTCTTTATCATGAAAAGATCATATGAACATCTGTGTTTATATACAAATGTATATGCATATACATATATATGCACATACAGTACATGTGTGTGTCATGTATGTACATGTTTGTGTGGATGTGTGCATATATGCACACACACACACGTACAAGTGGAGCCCAGAGGTTGGCATCAAGTGTTTTCATTTATATTCTTTTAATTTACTTAGGAGTAGAGCGGCTGGGTCATACTGTAGAACTATGTTTAGCTTTTTTCAAATGCTTTTGATATTTTAGAAATATTTAGAGGCATAATTGACATACAATAGGTCCCTGTGTTTAAATCTACAATTAGATAAGGTTTGCCCTGTAGAAATACCATAAAGTGGGACTGTAGACCATAGTAGAACACTTGCCTAGCATTCATGATGCCTTAGGTTAAATTCCAAATATTGTCAAATTTAAATAAATAAATAAATAAATACCCCAAACTATCACCTCAGTGCAGATAATGAGCGTGACAATCAACCCTGCCTCCCTCTCTGCCATACATGTGGCGTTTCCTAGGCAACCACAGATCTCCTTTCTCTCTATATAAAGCTAATTTGTTATTCTAGAATTTTACATAAATAAAATCATAAATTACAAATACGCTTTGGGTTCTTCCTTCTTTCTTTTTCTTTGGAGACAGGGTCTCATGTAGTCCAGGCTGGCCTCAAACAGCCTCCTGATCCTCCTGCCTCCACCTCCCCAGCATCACATACATGTACCACCATGCTTTGTTGCTAGAGTTTTCCTGCCTGGCCCACAGTCAGGACAAATCTCTCTCACCCGCCAGTCCCAAGCCGCTCAAACCCGATCAAGTAAACAGAGACACTTATATTGGTTTCAAACTGTATGGCCGTGGCAGGCTTCTTGTTAACTGTTCTTACAGCTTAAATTAATCCATTTCTATTAATCTATACCTTGCCACGTGGCTTGTGGCTTACCGGTACTTTACATCTTCCTTGTCCTGATGGCGGCTGGCAGTGTCTCCCACTCAGCCTTCCACTCCCAGCTCTATTCTCCTCCTTGTCCCGCCTATACTTCCTGCCTGGCCACGGACCAATCAGTGATTTATTTACTGACCAATCAGCAACACATTTGACATACAGACCATCCCACAGCACCTCCCCTTTTCTTTTCTTAAAAAGGAAAGTTTTAACCTTTACACATCTCCAAAGTCAGCTTGGAGTATTTGGGAATTTGGGCGTAGCTTCTCTTACTACTTCCTGCTGGAGGGGGGTGCTGTATCTTCTGGGGAAACAAAGAAAATTTTAGGATCATGGAGTAGTCCGTGAGGCTGTATCATCTGAGCCAGTTGCCTTGAGACGGTTCTGGATGTTGGATCATCTGGGCCATGGTGTCATCGGAGACCTTTCAGGGGGTCTTGGCTGGTCAAACCTGATGTATCTTACTCTGGAACAAATCCATAGCCTCTTGCTTTCTGTGGAAACAAAAGAGACTCTTTTCCAAAGCAACATATCCTTACATCCAAATTTTGAAGTCAAAGTATCTTTAAAATATACATACTGGTTTAACTCAGCTTCCTTTACAATCAAATATCTCTCTGTAGTTAAGAATCCCAAAGACAACACAATCCAGACTCTCTGTGTAATAGTCATCTCTACGTGGCTTATTTTTTATATTAATTTTACTGTCTCTTTAAAGACTTTATTTTTTTTTAAAACCATGTATTTGTTTCTATACTGTATATATCACCTTTTTTGTCTCTTTTAAGCCTACGTATATTTTACACACATTTTAAACTATTACATCTGAATCTGTCTTATTATGAATCTGTTGCTTTAAGCTGCAGCAGCTGTGGCTGCTGGCTCCGCCCACCTCAGCTTCCCAACATGGCGGCGGTATGCTTACCGCCAGCTCTGGGAGCTATCGTGGGTCTATGCTTTTATCCAAGCAGCAT